CAAATAGATCTGATGGGAGTTGACCGCGATGCCATCAGCTCGAAGTGCCCAAAAATAGCATTTACACCCGAAAACCGTTTATTCGATTCTCCGAGCAGAGACGACTGAATTAGGTGGATGCCGGATACACCTTCCTCTGGAGCGGACGTCGAAAGACAAAACGACATGATGCCGGGATCATCGTGGGACGACTGCCTTGTCTGCCAAGGGGCATCAACGACCGTTGCCAGCCTCTTCGCAGTAGCAAATTTGCCACCGGCCTCAGTGTCTACGTCGCCCAATGACCAACTTCGACGACTTAAAGGACAAGTTCTATGAAGATGTGTGCGCCTACCCAGCGACTTTGCTCGAGGCAGAACAAAGTGGTTGTTCTTGATGACTTCGATGACGGCGAGAGTATCGTAATAGCCTAGGTCGCATGTGAGACCCCCGCTTCCACGAGCTTCAGCCCCAGTCCCGAATGGAAAGAGAAGAGGTGGGACACCAGTTTGGAGGATCGTATATTCTGTGCAGAACAACAGGAGAAAGGATTGGAAGGAGTTGGCAGCCAGAGGAGCATGCCTCCAGCGCTGGGAGAGCGGCGTCCCAAGTGCGTGAGTCAGGGAATGCGTCAAAGTGCCCAAGGCCAGGACACGTCCGACTCGGCCTTGAATCTGATTGGCCAGTTGAAAAGCCAAGTGGGCGAACGCCAAACAGCCCTGTTGCTGACGTACAGACACTTGCGAGAGGCCCAGTGTTGCGATAGGCGCTCGGAGTAGGGCCACTACAAGAGCGTGGGTGCTGGGTCGCCATGGAATTGGTAACCGCAATAACGACGGTCTCCTCCTCCTCCTCCTCCTCCTCCTCCTCCTCCTCATCATCATCATCATCATCATCATCATCATCATCATCATGCAGGCCCACGCAAAACACAGTATTATCCTGACCAACACAGTCTTTCACCTTTTTATGCGCGAAAAGCAGACGTGGATGCAGTGTCGCCCGCGAAATGGCATCTGTTGGACCACGCTCCCGTCCAGAGGCGTGATCAGCCTGACGTACTGATGACAAGTGTGGTTAGTGTCGATTGTTGGACGGACCGCCGTCTTCTCGTTCCTAAGATGCGACTTCAACTACAATCCCCCAGGCGACCACCAAGTAAGCTAAACGCTACAATTATTGGACATGATTTATCACCGATCAGATGTTAGTGACCATCCGTCTCTGCTCCTGGAACAAGTGCAAGCCCCCGGGGCAAACGCGACTTTTGAGACACAGTGGAGCCACTTACGGTGCGTCCTTTATCCTTCTGTTGTGGAAGTTCTCGGCAGTGTACGCCTTCAACACCAGGACTGATTCAACGACAAACATGAAGAAATTCGTAACCTGCTCTCCGAGACAAGTAAACTGCACACAGCCTACGTCAACCGCAGAACTGACGCCAACAGAGCGACCCTGTTCCGTTTTCGCTGGCCGCCGTTGCAACGACCGAGAGAGAGAGAGAGAGAGAGAGAGAGAGAGAGAGAGAGCACTGGACGCAAAACACACTGTGCATGTGGCCTATATTGATCCCCGGAAGGCGTTCGACAGTGTTCCGCACCAGCGTCTCCTGCACAACAGCAATCAAGGCGCAGATTCATAGAGAGTGGACTCCCACAAGGCTCGGTGCTCGGACCAACCCTCTTTCTCTTGTTCATAAATGATTGTGTAGATGGGTTGGACTGCGATAGTACCATGTTTTCAGATGACATGAAAGTCTGGAAAGTCATCCAGAATGCTGCCGATGGGACCAACTTCCAAGAAAATCTTTCTCGATTGGACGAGTGGTCCCGCAGATGGCTCTTGTCCTTCAATTTGAACAAATGTACCATACTGCGCCTCGGAAATCAGACCCGTAGTACGCGGCAATACCATCTGAAGGAAATGCCACTCCGAGAAGCAGAAACACAGAAAGATCTCGGAGTCTGGGTTGCAGACAGCCTGAAGCCTTCTACACAATGTTGTGAGGCGGACAAGGCCGCAACTTCAATTTTATATGTCATAAAGCGGGCATTCGCGGTTTTCGATGAAGAGTGCTTCTCCAAAGTCTTCGGCACGTTTGTAGGGCCGCATCTCGAATATGCAATTCAGGCTTGGCGACCGTGAACGCATCAGGATTACAATCTGCTCGAAAGGGTGCAGAGACGAGCAACAAAATTAATAAGAGGTCAAGGTGCACTGCCATACGAGATCCACTTAACTAACCTTAATCTTTATCCTCTGAGTTATAGGCAGCTGCGCGGAGACTTGATACAAACTTCCGTATCGTGCGTGGCTTGGACTGCGCCCTTCGGTGCGATGACTTTTTCCAACTCGCCCCTACAACTAACCTCCGGGGACATCCCTTCAAACTACGTGTGCCCCAAGGTAGATTGAATGTCAGAAAATATTTCTTCTCCAACCGTGTTGTGGAACAGTGGAATAACCTGCCCGAGACGACTGTCATGTCTCAATCTGTGGAGACATTTAAAGGTCGGCTTGACAGACATGTGTTGCAGCAACAAGCGGACTATGTGACTTTTTAGCCATGAGACCAGTGACATATGTGAATCATGTCTTACGGGAGGGACGACACGCAGGATGAAAAGCAGGAGGAATGCAGGCGGACACAGAAGATAAATCGCTTTCTGCCGAAAGTCTCATTGTATGCTTTCATATGGCAGACAAAGTGAGCGCAATAATTTAAAAAATATAAAAAGAGCAATTTTCAAAAATAACGGATTTTGAATAACCCGCCGCTGGTAAGTTCATATTCAGTCAAGAAGCCCAGGAAATTTCAACCAATAGGAACGACGAAACATAACTGATGTGCATATTTCAGTTGCCAGCTACGTGGGGGTCCCACGTCCTAATATCACCGTTGCGAATTCCGGAGGACTGAGATGAACTCTTCAGAGGCGCCCTCAGTCGACCATCCACACACACTCCGACGACCTCATAAACAGGCTCTCTTCGACGGAGGCAAACGCCGATCTCAACAGTTCGCCTTCCCCCCAAGAAACAATCACAACAGGACAACAGCTCTCCGGTAGTAAAGCTCAGAAGTCGAGGAAATTATAGTTGTAATTTACGAGAATATACTTCTGCGGACCCGGTGCAATATCAACATGGCAGGCCTGCCTTTTGTCTCAAGAGACGCCGCCAACACCACCACCAACGGGGACACTCTGGCACCACGCCAGCAAACAACCATATCGTCCCTTCCACCAGTAATATGGGCTCCACCCCAACCTGTCCTCATTGAGGTCGCACCTTCACATCACATACTGGCTTGGTTGGTCACTTACTGCCGGTAGCCCCAACATACACCCGTCACACACACCTGCCCACACTGCCTTCCGGGCATTCAATCACGTTCCGCAGTTCGGACTGCGTCGCCACATCTCGCCCTGCTACCTATGAGCCTACACCACGAGACGCGTATACATGCCACCCACCCTAACATCATGCAACTCTCCTGCAGTAAAAATGCGACCTTCTTTGCCATCGCTGATACGAAGGGTGAAACATCGCATGTCTCACGCAAGGGGGTGCATGTCCTCTGGCTACTTCTGGTACATGAACTTGGGACCCGGTTTTTCGTGTGTGACCCACGTGCATGAGTTGCCTAACTCGGTCAACCACTGCCGAACCTCACCAACAGTTAGTTGACTGGATCGGATAGTTAACTAACTTCCGAACCAACGGAAATATGTTCAACATCCGTAACCTGAATACATCTCCGAGAGTATTCAGGGCCAGTGCCCACGAGCTGCTGTTCATGGCTGACGGCGCACTAAATACCACAATTGAGGAGGATATGTAGTGGTATGGAACTCTTTGCCTCGGGATGGGAAAACTTAGGACTGAACCAACACGAAGAAGGTGTTGGTCATGTGTCAGTCAGCTCCAACCAATGAATACAATAGGCCTAGGATCAACATGAATGGCATCTCTGATAATCTCTTCTAACCAGAAAGTACAACTTCAAGAAGTATCAAGATCGACGAGGCAGTTTCACGACTGTTACAACCCGCCAGGGTAGGCATTGCCCATCGACCCCAGGCAACAATTCTTCGCCGTCTGATGCAACCCAAAGACATACTGTCACCCACTGAAACTTTAGCAGTTGTCTATCAAATATGTTGTAACGATGGAGACTGCAAATACGTTGGGGAAACCGGACGGAAATTGCAGACCCACAGACTGGCAACTCGGGGACTAGACCCAAACTCACAGCTTGCGGCTCATATCGGGGAAACTGGTCACAGTGTCGATTTTTAAGGAGCAGCTGTCTTAGGCAGGGGCACCTCGAGGACAGAGCGCCTCACACTTGAGGCTTGGTACTCAGATACCAACTCCATCAACAGGCATCTAGACTTTCCCTCGGCCTATAAGGTCCTGCGTCACTGCATACGCCGTGACGAAGACAAGACAGTCATACGGAGTCTAAGACTACCGAGCAAACACGGCCTGTCGACCAACTCACCCAAAAGGGGGACGCAAACGCAACTAACCCAAACTGAGGTGACGACACACAATACAGGAGGCCACCAACACTCACAGGCGACGGCCAGAAGGTCAAGGCAGCGAAAGACGAAGGAAATCAATCAACCCAAGGCCAAGTAATCCGGCTGTCTATTCAAAATTCTGATCAATTTTTCACTAGACGCTTTGATAATGGTGAGCCGCCCCAGCTCTTCGAAACATCAGCCGAACAGGTCTCTCTATCCGGTGAGCGCTTCATTTTCCTCCGACGATAAGACTACCCACAGGTTCAATAAGATCAACCGGAATTCTCTGTGTTCTCTCCATGCCGAGACAGATGCAACTGCGGCGGAGCGGACAGCTGCCGCCAAGTCATAAAGACAGTCTCGCGAGACTCGAATGTTGTGGACTAGCGACCCAAACACTCGACCCCTCACATTGTGCCCACACTGTCAATAGGCATTCCGACACAGAATGGCCTCGATGGACTTCTGCGGACCCGGTGCAATATCAACATGACAAGTCCGCCTTTTGTCTCAGAAAACGCCTCCACCACCACCACCACCACCACCACCACCACCACCACCACCACCACCACCACCACCACCACCACCACCACCACCAACGGGGACACTCTGGCACCACGCCAGCAAACAGCCATATCCTCCCTTCCACCAGTAATATGGGCTCCACCCCAACCTGCCCTCATTGAGGTCACACCTTCACATCACACACTGGCTTGGTTGGTCACTTACGAGTCCGCCGCACTGACACCGACGAACCAGTGCCGGTAGCCCCAACATACACACGTCACACCCGCCTCATCTGTCCACACTGCCTGCAGGGCATTCAATCACGTTCCGCAGTTCAGACTGCATCGCCCATCTCGCCCTGCTACTTTTGAACCAACACCACAACACTCGTATACATGCCACCCACCGTAACATCATGCAACTCTCCTGCAGTAAAAATGCGACCTTCTTTGCCATCGCTGATATGAATGGCGAAACATCGCATGTCTGAACATGCATGTCTCACGCAAGGGGGTGCATGCCCTCTGGCTACTTCTGGTGCATGAACCTGGGACCCGGTTTTGTGTGTGCGTGACCCACGTGCATGAGTTGTTTAACTCTGTCAGCCACTGAGCCGAACCCCACCAGCAGTCAGTTGACAGGATCGGATAGTTAACTAATGCATGCGAGAGGGAACAGAGAGTGATGCACGGCAGATCAGCATAATCTTCACTTAAATAAATCTGATACGTTTTAATCCATCGCGACGCGCTACCAGTTTGTCACCTGGAAGCTTGCCAAGGCGACCTTTATGACACTCTTACTGATATAAGACTTGAGAGACCTTTGTAGAGGTCTGGTACCTGGGGTACCCGGCCCAGGTCGTATGTGTGGCGTGCTCAGACCGGAAGTTCAGCGTTATCAGCTACTGCGCCCACACTCATCTCCGGTCGTCAGGTCGTGTTGCCATCGGACCAACGCAATGGATGCTGCGGAAGACTACCTCCTCACAAACAAATCCACGCGCACACAGTGAACGTTGTCTTTCGAATGGCCGAACTGTCGTATGTATGTGTGTGTGTGTGCAGAAGTCAAATTAATTCTTTGGGAATGTAACAAATGCTCTTCAAAGTTGTCGTTCGAATGGTCGAACTGTCGTGTGTGACGGCATCGTTGTCACCGAACTAGTCTTGATGTTAGAGGTGTGCGCGACCGAGGACGGCTAGCGCTGTCGACTGGACCATGTCTGGCAGTTAACAATATCGGTCCTCCATGTGGGCGTTCTCGTCAGCGGAGGCAGCGACTGGAAAGACCGACCATCGCCTCGTCATTTTGAAAATGCGTATTCGTCTACAGCCTCGCAGGAGACCTCAAGGTAAGCGACCCCCAAGGTAAGCAGAATATTTCCTTGTTGTCTTTGCCCGCTCACCATCTTCATTTCAGCAATGAGCTAGCTCAACGGCTAGCCAACCTTCCAGTCGCTGTCGCCGACGCCGCCACCGACGAGAACGCCTCAGTGGAAAATCGATGGTGTCAACTGCAGGACACAGTCCAGTCGACGGCGCTAGTCGTCCTTGGTCGCGCACGCCGCCAACACCAGGACTGGTTCGATGACAACGACGCCGTCATCAGCAGTCTGCTCGCCGAGAAGAACCGCCTACACAAAGCCTACATAGACCACCCCACTGATGCCAACAGAGCTGCTTTCCAATAGAAGCGAAGAGATGCTTTCTACCGCAGTCGCCGCCTCGTTCAACAGCGACTGCGCGAGATGCAGGACGCCTGGACGGCTAGCAAGGCTGAGGAGATCCAAGAATACGCGGGCCGCAACGAATGGAAGAACTTCTTCTCCGCGACCAAAGCTGTCTACGGCCGGCCAACCAAAGACACCGCTCGTCTCCTCGGCGCCGACGGGAGTACCCTACTCACTGAGAAGACGCAAATTTTACGGCGATGGGCCGAGCATTTCCACTCTTCTCACAACCACTGCGCCCACACCCATCCCCGGTCATCAGGTCGTTTTGCCATCGGACCAACGCAATGGATGGTGCGGAAGCCTGTCTCCTCACAAACTAATCCCCGCGCACGCAGTGAACGTTGTCGTTCGCAATGGTCGAGCTGTCGTATGTATGTGTGTGCAGAAGTCAAATTAATTCTTTGGGAATGTAACAAATGTTATTTAACAAATTTTTTAAAAGCATCAAGCGTTCGAGAGTCAGAATACTGTAAAACAAGTGGGGCTAGCTTTGTATTGTCCCAGCGTTCCAAGTTTTCGCTCGAACCCATCATAAAGGATAAATGGGAAGGCACAGCACAGCTACATGGATTAATCTCCAACTGCGTTGCTCTTTTATTTGCGACGTTTGGTACGCCGGTGAGAGGTCACATGCCTGTAAATTGAGTCATTGTTTGAATGCCATGCTGCCTGCAGTTAGCGCGAAATTCGTTTATCTGATTGGTCCAAGACTGACGAGTGGACGTAGGCGAAATCGTACCCTAGAGAGGATGTGTATACGCGCCAGGGGCATTTTACTTTCCCGCCTAACGTTCTCTCGTTTAAACGCCCTCGTCTAAACTTATTTGCTCGCCTAATTGGCCCTGCTCAATTTGCACTCGGTCCAGTAAATAGTGTCGAATTTTTCTAATTAGTTTTCAATTGTTCCCTTGGATGCAGGAGTTTCTGCCAGATCATCGCTACTGGCTTGTGTTATGCTCAAATCCCCACGTTGTTCATTAGTTTGAATAATCCTTCGCGTACGCCGCCAATATAAGGCGGAGATAGTTAACACTTCGGCAAAGCCAATTATGCTAGTGAAACCGGTAAACAAGTCTGAACATGAATGCAGAAACAGGAAATTGCCGTTAGGCGAAAATGAAAAATGTTCCTGATGTTTGCCCACTCATTCTCTCCAGGTTGCAAATTCGTTCTTAACCACTTTTGGCCATGGGCCAGTTTGACGAACGAATTTCCCGCTGACTCTAAGTAACATGCCGTTTAAACAAAGGCTCAGTCAGAAGGCGTACAGACCCGCCACCGGTATACCAGACACTGGGGGAAAAAATCGATTGCGCGGCTGAAGATCACTCAAGGCGGGGGTGCTAAAATTTTGACCGAGCTCATCTTTTCGCTTATCTTCCACGAGGGAGCCCCAGAGAAGGCTTAGAACGTTGGAAAAATAGAAAGTTGAGTTCAAAAAGCAGTTGTTTCCCTTATACAGTAGGTGTGCTGACTTATGAGATGTTAACCGAAATTATGAAATACGTCTTCTATTCGAAAAAAGATTGTTTAAGTAGGGTTGTAAGATTCATCATCGTGCAGCACAATTCTATAATAATTCAGTTACCGCGGGATGCCGGCTTTCGAACGAACTTTTTACCGGCTGCATGCCAAAACTGTTCTTTGTAAAACAATGACTACTTAAGCAGCATGTATTTTTCCATCGATTTTCGATGCCTTTAGAAATCCAATTATATTTCATGGAAAACATGCATAAAAATATTCATTCTTTTACTTATTCGGTAGAAAATAACGTCTTCGTCCAATTTTATATTCGAAAGAAGCGTATACTTCGATTTTAAAAACTTTTCCATTTCCCGATTAATTTTGAATCCGACCTGCCGCTAAACTTGTATTCAGGGTTTCCAAACTACAAGCCGTATATTTTCCGCGTACGGAAAACCATACATTTCTCTACGGCATTAAGAGGAGGTCATATGGGGTTCATAAAATTAAGCAGTGGATTTGAGCAATATCGTTTGATATACAAACCAAATTGGTAAATGCAGAGACATGACTTTTTATGAACGGCCATTTCACGCTATTAAAAATCTCACAGTTAGAAACTTTTTCGAAACCGAATTATACTCCCCTTCGAGAATAAAATTGAAAGAAGACTTTATTTTCTACCGAATGAATAGAAGAATGAATATTTTATGCATGTTTTCCATTAAATATAATTGACTATTTGAGGACATCGAAAATCAATGAGAAAATTGCATACTACTTACGTAGTCATTTTTTGCAGAGTATAGTTCTTGCTTGCATCCGGAAATAAGTTCGTTCGGAAGAGGGCACCCTTAGGTAGCTAGATCATTATAGAATTGTGCTGCATGATGATTAGTTTTACAACCCTACTTAATTAAACGTTTCGAGACGATAACGCATTTCGAAATTTCGGTTGACATTTCATGAGTTAGCCCACCTACTGTATTTTGAGATTATAAGAGACTAACTCCACTGTTGCTGTAGCGTAGAGATGTCAAGCCTCTCAAGCTTCAGCTTTCAAATTTCGCCTTAACGCAGCAACTAGGCGACAAAATGGGGTGCGGGTGTACCGTCCCGACATACAGTCAACATCTGGGCTTCGCTGTCATAGCTGTTGGCGTCTACTACTGCGCGGGAGAACCGGGCTTGACGCCGACAAGTGGCTGCGCCAAAACAGTCGGAACGGCTGTCGGATAAGTAGGTTATCAATGGTCGCACGTGTTGGGTGTTGGGCGACCAATCAGAACGCCGCGCCACAATCGAAGTTTCAGTCGCGCGCGCGCATGATTAGGCCACGTGGATGCGCTCGCGGAGAAAGCAACTGCGGCGGCTGGCTGAGGGTGTGATCAGTGTCGGCGAGTTAAAGTACGCTGCCATACTGTAATACCTCAGGCGGGCATTTCTGATGAATGGCCAGTAGCTCGGCTTCTCTGACAGGAGCATAAAGTTCATGTTAGAGCAGTGGTCACCCTCTCTTCTAATTTGTACTTCTGGCGACACGCACACCGTGTATCTGAACGGTCGTTGAAATAGCATACTTAATTTAATTTTCAGGCAGGACATTTGACAGTTCGTAATTTGGAATTCCCAAACTCTAGGTCAGTGGCAGGTCGGATTCAATATTATTGGGGAAGTGAAAAGCTTTAAAATTGGACTTGCCTTTTCTTCGAGTGTGCTACAAAATCGGCACGATAACTGATATTTTAGTGCATGTTTCCTGCCAAATATATTTGGATTTAAAGGGAAATCGAAAATCAAGGAGATCTTCGTGCTATTAAGTAGGCCTTTCTTAGCAAGTGCGATTTTTTGCAGGCGACTGAAAAGGCGCGTATGAGAGGGTCGGCATCTTGGTGTGATTTGAGTGTCTTGAAATTACGCTGCCTAATGATCAAAAGGTGAGATGTGTTTATGTAGCCGCGCCCGATGAACACAATACTGTTGACCTACTTAATTATTTGGAGTTGGTGTAATTGCGTCGACATTGTGTTGAGGTGAGTGTTCTGTTGGCAGCCTTGTTTCTTTGTTGTGCGTCTACCTTTCTCTGCCTAATGCCGGTGATCTCTCTCAAATTTTAACCTGTTGCTTCCTTCTAACTTTCGCGTTGGACTTTTTAGGGCTAGAGTTTAGGACTGCGGTTAAGGGTTAGGGTTGCAGCGTTAGGGTTATAGTTGGGGTTAGAGTTAGGATTATATTTTAGGGCTTAGAGATTAGTGTTAGGGGTCATGGTCGGGGGTCAGGATTATGGGTTAGGGGTTGGGGCAACTACTTCTCAACCACTCAACGTACAACCGCGCATTCCCAATAGCTTTTCTTTTGCATACAATTACTTGACCTCGTTGCCTGTGCGTTCTCCGGCCCCACCTGCAAAAACCACCCTTACCACTGGTCCCGTTTTATAGGTGGCTGAGATTTGTTTACCTCGGGTGCGGCTACATAACCACATCTAGCCGATCAAAGTTGCGAGCACACCTAATTAACCCCTTCCAACAGAGATAGAATTTCAGAATTCCAGACAAAGTTTTATGAGGTACGTCACCGACTGTAGACTTTCAATTGGGAGCAACTGGCCTTCCTTCAAAACATTAACAAAATTGTGTTCGGATGCGGGGGGACGATTGCACTGGCCCACCAGGTAAGATCGCAGTTGGTAGCCAGACATTATACGTTGATACTGTCGATGTATGTACTTGTTATCAGTAGGTGTGCTGACCTTGTCTAGGGAACTTGTTATCTGTAGGTGTGCTCTTACTGAGTTAGGCACGTCGCCTGTTTCGGTCAGGCTGTTGGGTTTAGTGAGGGTTAGGGTTAGGCGTAGGTTAAGTTTTAAGATTAGGGTTTGCGTTTTAGGGTCAGATTTCAGTGTTAGGGTTAGGGCTTAGGTTCCCGTTAGGGTTACGTTGAGGGTTAGGCTTAATGTAAAGGTTAGGGTTAAGGTTATGTTCAAGGCTAGGGTTAGGGTTATGGTTAGGTTGTAGGTTAGCGTTGGGTTTTAGGATTGTGGCTATGTTTCGGTTTTGAGGCCTAGGGTTAAGCTTTACGGTTGCGGCTGGATTTTAGGGTTAAGCGTAGGGTTTAAATTTCTGCCATTATTCCACCTACTTACAACTTGCCAGCACTTTCCCTGGTAACTTTACTTTTACCTAGAAACTCCAGCATTCCTCTACCAGCCCTTCTATGTACCCCACCCATATAACCCCTTTTCCCACCATTCCCGTACGACAGGAACCTGGCTGTCCGCCTCCTCATTCCTGGCTACCAACCGCCCATCAAGTCGCGAGTAATTCGGACTGAAATATCTCCCCTATTGTCACAGCGGTACAGTTACGTATTACGCCTTCATTTCATTAAAATGTCCGTGGCGAAATCCTGCCTGGAAAATCCAAATCTGTTTCATAAATGCAACGTTTATGTGGAAGTTATTTCGAGCTCCAGTCTGGAGTTAGCGTAAA